GGCCAGCCTCGGGGATGGGGGCAACTGCACAAGCATTGCAAGGAGAGGCAGGGACGAGTCTGGCTGGTGCCTGCTGGCTCTGGATGCAGTCTGGGGATAGCAGTGGACACAAGGGACATGAGGACCTCAGGGGCTGCCAACAAGCAACCCTGGCAGAGAGAAATGAAACACTGGGGAGGAGAGGGCAAACCGGCCAGAGGCTTCACACTGAGCTCCAGGCTGGAGAAGACTCACTGCCGGCCACTCCTGCACCAGGCCCTCCTGGGTTAATGCACATTTTCCTCTCCTGTGCTGTTCCCAGGAGCCCAAAGTCTCTTGTGTGCGTCGTTCCTGACGTCTCTGCCTTTGGCAGTGACTGGAGGTGGCTGCGATACCCCATCACGGTCCCACTCCTGCTGATCAGGGATGATGGCCTCATCTATTCCAGCTCATTCACGTTCACCTACACCCCAGAGCAGAGCTTCATCCCAGGGCAGCAGGTCCTCTCAGATGTCCTGCAGGACTCAGACAAATTACTTGACAGCATCCATCAGGAGTTCACCAGGACTAACTTCCACCTCTTCATGCAGAGCTAGCAAGCTGGCCAGAGCTAGCAAGCTTGCCACCAGCCCCCGGGGAGGGCGAGCAGCCCTGAGCCATGCTGGGGGTCCCTGTCCAGGGCTCGGGGTGACCTCACTGAAGGCCATGCATCAAATGCCCACTGTGTCACTGTGATATGCTGACTTGTCTCTTCTCCATGGGAGCATCTCCCTCTGCTGAGATATCACATCAGAGCATCAATAAATCAGGATTCAAGGACTCTTTACTGATTCAATTGCTTCTTTACTAACCTTCACGATTTACCTCCCGTGCTGGCACGGAGCATCACAGCTCCCTTGATGTCCTCAGTCCATATATTCAAAGGCCAAGAGAGACAGGGATGATGAACGAATGTGACCTGAAGTGCTATTGATCTATACTAGGGATCCTTGCATCCCTTCTGTGCTTTTCAGTAATGAGGAGCTGATTTCCAGCAGCTGGATACTCAGTACCAGATGGTTTGTTTGGCGTTTTTTTTTTATTAGAGGCCCAAACAGGGTTATTTCAAAAGGAAAAAGAGAGAGAAAAACTTCAGTGTGAAACCCAGCCCCTTCCCGGCTGGCGTGGCTCTGCCAAGCTCTGTTGTTTTACACACTTACACACAAGCACCCACACACAGAAACTGCCGCGCTGGCAGCAGCAGGAAACTGCTGATCTAGGGATGCCATAAAAAGAAGCAAGTTTCTTGGAGCCAGACCCGGCTGTTACGCAAAGTGGGTCTTAACAGCTTTATTTAGTCTTCAGATCTCCGGGGCATCAAAAGGCCCGTGGTGTACCTGGAAACCTGCGGGTTTGGCAGTTTGAGCTGGAGGTAGAAACACCCCAACTGCCAAAGCCATGGAGGTGTTTAACCCACGCTGAATGTGGCAGCAGGGGAAGTGTGGTACCCCACGACCCACAGTACCCCACAACCTACAGCACCCCAGCAGCATGGGGCATCCGGCCCCACACACGGCACCCCTGGCTCATCCCCAGCTTACTTGTGTGTTCTGCGCCATCCAGAGCGTTTGGGACACCAGCACTGCACAGACTGACAGCCCTGGCACACAGCCCATCCTCAGCCTTGCCGTGTGCATCCCTGGCCATGCTGCGGCTTGGGATGCTGACTTCGGGTCTGCAGGGGACTGATGGCTTCACACCACCCAGCATGGAGAGGCATGGTGATGCCCAGCGTCTTGGCCTCCTCCCTCTGCAGCTTGTGCACAGCCCCAGCTCCCACAGGAGCAGAGGAGCTTGGGTCTCCGGGGTCCTAACCCAGCACTTTCCAGGGGACAGCACCTCCCTAAACTCCATCAGGACATGGGGTTCCTTCTTCCCCAAAACAGGAACCTCACAGAGGGTGAAAAGCTGTTGGCAGACACATCTTTGCGCATCCAGAGCTGCAGCTGCCACAGGAAAAGCTCAGGGAGAACATTACAGCACATGCCAACCGCCAAGGGCTGGTGGAGGAAAGGGCTGGAGAACAGAGGAAGGGCAACTACGTGAAGAGCCGCAGGGAGTTTCCAAAGGAAGCAAGTCCCTTGAGCAGAAGGCAGGTCAGGGTGCACTCATTAGGTGTTGGGGGCAGTTTGTACGAGACCTTACTGCTCCATTCCTGGTAAATGTTGGAGCGTCTTATACAGGTGCTGGGGGCAGTGGGGGCTTCCCCTGTGCAACAGCCGCCTGGGCCACCCCATTGGCCCGTGCCTACCATTCCCTGCACTCACCTCCCAGCAAATCCACGCCAGTCCTAATGTAACTGAGGATGAAACACAAGAAAATCCTCTAATCAGCCTGAACAGAAGATCCCTCATATCCCCCACAAAAGCATTTCCCCCCTCATCTTCTCAGAGAAGGGCTGGAGGGCAGTGAAAGGACAGGGCCAAGTCTTTTGACTTCTGCCCCTATCCCACGCAGGAGCGTCTGGAGCCCACGGGCTCCTCAACCCGCTCCCCTCCCTCAGAGGCCGGGGCATAATTCACATTTTATGAATGGAAAGCACCCTCGGCTATATTTAGTAGCAGCCCAGTCCCCAAGGGCAGGAGGAGCACTGCTTATTGACTTCAAGGGCTTGGAACAAGCCTGCCTTGTTATGTTTATGGCACAGCGCTTTGCTGGAGAGGCCAAGAAAGCACCGAGCAGCTCATTCTTGAAGCCTGATGGATTAAGCAAACAGCCACAGTAACTCAAGCCACATGGGGAAAGGAGAGGGGGAGAGGCGGTGGCGACGGGTGGGCTGGGGGGCCTCGAGGGGCTCCTGCCTTTCCCTGACCAGCCCTGGGCTGCATTTAATCTGCTTTTCACAGCAGGTCCTGCAAATGGAAACGAGGAGCTTTGCAGCTCCTGGAGGAGGCACTTCGCTGCCATGGGGAACATATGTTCCGCGTCGCGGCGAGCTGGTAGCATCAGCAGAGCTGTTTATTTGCATAATCAGTGATTAACACAAAATGTCTCGGACAGGCGCCAGCCACCCAGTTGTATGTTCTCGCTCGTGAGTCGGCAGCGCCCATCTCTGCCAGATCCTACAACAACCCAACACACATTGGGGAAACACACATGGATCATCCCACCAGCCCCGGGGAGCTGGGCTGCCCACTGGAGCCCCTCTGGCAGCTCTTTTCTGTGCTCCTGAACAGTCCATGGAGCTTTTTCCCATCCCCAAGGCAGCCAGAAACCTGGGTATAAAATGAAGGATGAAAAAACCTTCACGTCACTCCAAGAGCTGAGGATTTAGAAAAAGCATCAAATGCTTTAGGGACACTTAGGCCCTAACTTACACTGTGTGTGGCATTGTGTGAGCATCCTCAGGCAACGGCGAGGCTTGACGGCAATGGGGAACCCCTGCTTCCGCTGAGTTGGGGTGCAGCTGGGGCTGCCCGGAGCCTCATCGCACCTGAAGAGCCATTTCAGGTCCCGGAGGTGGGCATACCTTCAAAAACATCAAGAAGAAAATAAAATCCTGGCTTGTCCTCCATGAAACAGCATCCCAGAGGAACATGAAGTCCGTTCTTGGTCCGTCTCCCGTTCTGCCTGGGCTATGAGGCGCCGGCCTCGCCGTTTGGGAG